TAATAAAATTTTGGTTATAAAATTTTTGTTTAGTTCTGTACTTTTTTTTTAGTTCCTATCATATTAGTAACAAGTTAGCATTTAAATTTTAATTTTAGTAGATAATAATTTAGTTTCTAGAGTTAAAATTAAGTTAAAAAATATATTTGATCCTTGTACTTGGATTAAAATAATGATTTAGTCCCTAAATTTTAGTTTGTAACGATTTAATCCCTAAACTTTCATTAAAATAACGATTTAGTCCTTAAACTTTAGTTTGTAACGATTTAGTCCCGTAATTTAAATTTTTTTAACAATTTAGTCCTTATCATGAAAAATCTTACTAAAATTAAGTGTCAAGTTTTGTCATTTAATAACTTAAATCTTTCTAATTTATAGACATATTTGGTCACTCATTGGTTTAGCAATCAATAAATATAAGAAACTTGACAAAAAAAAAATCCACGATAAGGACTAAATCGCTACAAACTTTAAAATACAAGGATTAAATTGTTACATAGAAAGTATGGGGACTAAGTTGTTACAAATTTGAAAGTACAGGGACTAAATCGTTACAAATTAAAATTCAGGTATTAAATCGTTACTTTAACAAAATATAAGGATCAAAAATGTTTTTTAACCTTAAAATTATAACAATTTAGTATCTACCAATAAAAAAAAAAAACTCTCACACTTTTTTATTATATAATGATTTAGTGCTTGTATTTTATAATAATATTTGGTCCCTTATCATTTCATCGATTTACATATATAAGACATTCAATCTTAATAGTATATTTTATCATAGGAATTAAATCGTTGTAAATTTTGAGCTACAAAAACTAAATTATTATATATTAAAATTTAAAGAAGTTAATTGTTACAAATCTGAACATACGAAAACTGAATTCTTACACACTAAAGTTCATGATTAAATTGTTACTTCAATCCAAATACATGGATGAACATGATTTTTTAACCTAAAATTTTTAGAATGGTTTTTTTTCCTTTTCCTTCTATGGCGTGGACTATTTGAAATAAAATAAGTGAGGTAGAGATTTGAACCAAGACTGAAATTAAGATTTGTTAACAATTGACAAACATCACATAAAATAGACATTTTAAATGTTCATGAATTAAAATCGAAAATATCTAAATATTTTTTAAATAGAAACAATTTTCTTTTTGGCTATATCAAAAGAAAAATTGTATTTCACAGAGCTAAATGCAAGAATATATTTTGTTAAAATTAATTTATTGAAAAATCTTTGTATGAAATTAATTAGGGTTTTTAATGTTATCGATTAATAATTTTATTAACGATTTTAATGTAAATTTAAAACGTTAATTCATTAATTATATAAAGTTATAAAACGTTTATTCATTAATTTTATAAAAACATTATTCATTTATTTTAATAAAACGTTTCATTTTTTAAAATAGTTTTGAGCCTCTTTCCAATTCTTCATTTTGGTGTCAAAACGAGTATAGCTCAACAGTAATTGACATATATTTTCAATCGAAGTTGAGAGTTTGGTCCCTATCCCACATCTTGTACTAAATAAAATCCCTCATCTTGGTGTCTGCAAAAGATAGAGAAAAATATATGTTTTGTGGGTTCGGCTTTTTCAAATTGATTTTGAGCATGTTATTTGATTCCAATCCGCTCTGACAAGTGTGTGTCTGAGTTAGGTGTTGCGTTAACTTAGGAGATCACAGTACGATTTAGTATCATGATCGTGTCGAAATTGGTTTCAAAGTAGTGGTTCATCCCACGGCACAACTATCTTTTACATCTCAAATCCTATTTCTTTTCATCTAACCTTGTCTCTCTGTTCATCCCACGGTACAACAATTTAACTTCCCATTTTGCCTTTTAATTTTAATTATTTTCTCTATTAGTCTAAAAGCAATTTAGTCGTTCATCTCTTCCTCCCTCGTTTTCCAAATCCTCTCAAATTTCACAAATTCTCTCTCCCCCTCCCCCGCGTCACTTTCTCTCTCTAAATTCCCTAAAATTCTACCAATTCTTTCAAATATTCTTTATCTTTACCCATTCTAATTTTCTCAAATAATTTTATCTCGCTAAAAAATTTCATTTATCTCTATTATTTATTTCATTACTTTTCTTTCTCAAAAATCCCTTTTTTCTCCGCCCATCCAAATTTCTAGTTCAAATTATCATTTATTTAAATGTATCTGAAATTGGTAAACAAAGTGAACAGAGAGTATTTAGAATAAAGAGAAAATTAGAGGGGTGTAGATTGAGAGAGATAAATTTATAAAGATTGAAAAATATTATTTAGAAAGAGACGTAAAATGGGAGAATTAAGAGAGAGATTTATATTTGAATCACAAAATTGTTAAAATAATCAATAATAAAATGATAAATCTCATGTAGTATATATATAAAAAAAAATCCTACCTAGAGCAATGGCAAAAAAATTATTATTTTTAAACATGTTTGAAAAATGATTTTTTCCACAATCATTAAAATTGATATAAATTTTAAATAGAGACGATTTTAAAGTCGCAATATTCAGAGAAATAATTTCAAAACAAACTATTTTTGTAAATACTTATTAAATCGACCATTTTTTAACTTACCCCTAGCAACGGGGACAAGTAGAAAAAGGTGACCATTACACCAAACAAAAGGTGATAAGACCGTTGGATTTTGAATCCGTTTTCTTGGGCCTTGGCCCACATTTACGGTCTTTTTGGACCTGGATGGTCAAATCTATGAGATATTATAATAATGGTTAAATGACTTTTTTTTAAATAATGAAAAAATATTTTGACAAATATATCGTTGTAACCAATTAGATATATATACATAATTATAGGGATTTAAGGTTTTTACGAATAGCAAAAACAATCATTGACTGGCTAACTCGTGCAATAAAAAAAAACCTTCGCCTTAATATTAAGGAAATCAACTCTATCTAATAAAAAGTAAATAAAATTAAAATAATTATCTTAAATATAATTTTAAATCGGTAATTATAATTTGAGAGTAGATTTAAACAAATTTTGATAAGACTGTGTTGAGGTAGATTTTGAAATTTACCAATCTAAAATAAAAGATTTTCAAATGGGTGAGTAAATATAATTACGAAATCAAACTACCTTTATTGGATTTTTAACAAATTAGAGTTTGGCCCAATCATCCCTTTCTTTTGCACGCCCTTCACGCTGCCGCCTGCCCTCTCTGCTTCTCGCTCCGCCACCACATCGCCCAACCTGTTGTCGCGTCGTCCAGACCGTCCAGTCCCAACCTAGATTCGTCCATTCCGTTGTCGCGTCTCTCCTTCCGACACAGATCCGTCCCTCCCTGCCGCTGCACCATCTGTGAAGAAGATGTATAGATGTAATAGTTTATATATGGCTTGTTTGTTTTTTAAAAAATCCTCACATAGTTGATTTATCTTTATATATACGGATTGAATCATCAATGATCCAGGAAGAGACTCCAATAAATACTAGATGATGTGATGATGTCCAGGGAAAGACCTAAGGAGAGATTCCATTAAATACTAGAGAATGTGATGATGTCTAGGGAAAGAAAAGTAAGAAATGGAAGGAAACCAGCAAAAACAGAATCTACAATAAAGTAAGAACTCAAGAAGGGATATTTGTATTAAATAGTAATAATTACAAATTATATTGAGTAAACTAATTAGGGATATTTGTGTTAAATAGTAATATTTACAAATTAGATTCAGTAAACTAATTCTACTTACGGAAAAGGAAAGGGTCTCAAAATAGCTGAGGGAGAGCGCGTTGTTGGTGAGGTAATTATTGGGATATACATGTACTAGCTTTCTATTTATGATATTTTACTTGTATATTGACTTTCGTATTTGGTTGTTTCTTGAATTGATATATACATCTATTGACTTACATGTTTTGTTAATTGTTGAATTATCGGTTTTCAGGCCTAAATCGACCAACCGACCGACCGACCGACTATTCCGTTGGTTGGTGGAGAAGCAGCAAAAATGGTCGGTCGATTTCCATTTCTGGAAACCAACCATGCGTCGGTCAGCGTCGATTTAGGCCTGAAAACTGAGCCGACCGATCGTTGTGCACCCCTAATTAAAATTGTGAAAAAAATTAAATAAAAAAATTAAGAAATCATAATGGTCACTTCTAAAAAGCAAAGGACCAAAATGTATATTTTGAAATTACAAGTTTTAAAATAAACCAAAAGTTAGAGTACATCGACCAAATAAACATTTTCAAAGTACACGAATCAAAATATCCCCCGGTCTTCGACCCGAGCTGTATGAGGTAGAAACTCGTTTCACTTACGATTTGGAAGACCAAAGCTAAAATTAGAAAGAGCAAAAACAAAAAAAAGTATATATATATATATATATATATAATAGAACATGTAGTGGTGAGATCCAACTTACAACTTCTTAGATATATGCCAATTATTAAAGAGATATGCTGGCTTTGACATATAATATTTTAGATTACATGGTTGTAAATATCTGTCGACATTTTTATCGACATATCAATGTTTCAATGAATTCGACATTGACATGAGAGGTAAATCGACATTTCTATCATAGTATAAGAAAATCGACAAAATATGAAAAATATCGACAGAATGTCAATAATATATACATAATATTAATATTAACTATTTTTAATTAATTTAGAAATAGGAAAATGGTTATTTGTTAATTTAAATATTTTTTTACGATTTTTTAATATTTCTAACATTTACATAAATATCTATCAACATCGACATTTTATCGATATTTCTATCAATTCATTTTTTTTGAAATGGAAAGATATTTCCATGAAATTGAAACCGCAATATTTCCATCGACATCGATATTTAATCCACGGAATAAGACTCTTATTTCCATTGATTTTTTTTTCATAACACCCATAGGATTTTTATAAATTTATCGGAAAAACATTTTCCGACCCGACCCGACCGAATCCGACCCGACCTCACCACGAGCGCCACGCCACTCGGATCCCTCCTTCCCACCAAGTGACGACAATCTTCACAAACGGCGAACTGGCACAAGCCTTTACGCTCTGGGTTTCACCTTCCCCTCCCTCTGATCACGAAAACCAGTTTCCAATCGGAAACGGAAGCAACAATTGAAGTTATAATCCGACGATGTCTTCTGGGTTGAGTTCACTTTCATCGAGTGATGAACTCGATGAATTCAACCCTAAACCAACGCCCACTGCGCCACCTAAACCTCTCGAAGAAGAATTGGCGTCTCTAGCATTGACCTTACCCCATCCCGAGCTGCTCTCCGATCGGCAGGATGTCAATGGCGTCCCAAATGGATCCCCGGCGGATGGTTCTCAGTTCGGAATTCAACAGAATGATGGGGAAATGAGGGACGGGGCAGTTCCCGAGGAAAACGTTGTGGGAAATTCGGAAAGTTCGGTGCGAGGTGGAATTGGTGGTGCGGGTGTTGTGTGGGGGAGGACCAATTCGGAGATAGAGGTGGATAGACCGGCCAGCCCTAGTAGTAGTGGGTATGCTGGTGAAAGAGGAAGCAGCAGTGCTAGTAGCGGCAGGTCAGAGATGGATGGGATTGCTGAGGACGAAATTCAGGAGCTGAGAGATGACGCTTCTGTTGGTGTTTCTCTGCCCTCGTGGGTTCCTGGGAAGCGGCATGGCAATGAGGTACTGTAATTTGGCAACTTGTTGACGACTGTTTGCTTTTTGATGGTATCAAACTAGCATAAAATTTGATTGAAGTCTTTTTTTAACTCCTTGCCTTGCGTTGTCTATGGAATAGATCATGAATGATTATCGATGCTTAGTACTTGCTTGATTAGGGATACTTTTGTTTGGAACCACCCTGACCCTTAGGGTGTGTTCTTGTGTAGATTTTTCTTTGTCCTAGTTGAGCACCCTTCACTTGCATAAGTTTCTCCTCGACCCCTTAGCATTGGAAGGTAAAAGTCAAGGTTAAAATGTTTTCTTGTCCATGGGAGGATTAACACCATCAACTTGTTGTGGAGGAGTCGGCTGACAATTTTGATTTAGGATAAATTTTTGGATACTTTGGGAACGTTTCTGGCTTGCTATAGGTTGTGTTGTTTGATGATGAAGTGTTTCTTTATTTGCCATTTCGGGATAAGTGAAGAGTTATTTGTGGTAAAGGTCAGGTAAAGATCAAAATCCTAACTGGTCTAGGGAAAATTCAGGTAAGGATCTTTGTGGAATAATCTCAGGCAAATCCCCATTCTCTTTTACTAAGGTAAGGTACCACTATACCAAAAACCCTCAATGTCTCCAGGGTCCTGGCCTTTGAGCGGGCGCGAGTGCCCCTGGGAACAGGGGAGCAAAGCTCCGACTCTCAGTTATCAAAAAAAAAAATAGTCAAATTCTTTGTGGATGATGGATAAATTGCATGTTTATTTAAACTTCTGCACGATCCATAAAATTAATATTTTCATAATTCGCTCGGGACTTGCACATGTTAGGTGTTGTTTTGGATTTTCAGTTGGATCTGTCCACTTTTATACTTTAGTTAACCACTTGTTTGCATGTAACATAAAGTACTTGAAGTTCAAACCATTATGAATTCGCTAGTATATGTTGATTTTAATGTATGTCGCAAGGAGCAATTGTCTTTTTATAGTTAGGCCCAGCCATCAGTAGTTATACTGTAAATACAGGCTTCGAAAATATAGCTCCTTTCAGTTATATCGTTTTAGTTACCCAGAAAAACTGCTTATCACTTTTGCTTCTTTGTGGTCACTGACCTGACATACATTGATTGTTAGCAATATACCTTCTCTGATTGGTTCTCTCTTAAAGCTCAGGATGATGCTTCCATATCATGGAGAAAAAGGAAGAAGCATTTCTTTATTCTGAGTCATTCTGGAAAACCTATTTATTCCAGGTTTGTTCATTTTCTGCTTATTTTAGTATCATAAACTGTTCTATTTGTTTAAGGAATTCTAATTTGCAACCTTCTGCTGTAATCTTATTTTGATTTTGTCTAATGACATCCAGATATGGAGACGAACACAAACTAGCCGGATTTTCAGCCAGCTTGCAGGCAATCATTTCTTTTGTGGAGGATGGGTAAGTAGCTGGAATTTTCTGTTTTACCAATGAAATATTTAAGCGTTATGATATTCAAAATCTCAGGTAACATCTCCTCTGAATGAATGCTGCACATTCCTGATTGATTAATTTCCTTTTCAGGGGTGATCGTGTCAAATTGGTTAGAGCTGGAAAACACCAGGTTTTTAAAATTTTTATTTTTATTTATTTTATTTTTTATTTTAAATATTTATATATATCATTGGTTACATTCAATGTTGGTTATTGGAGTTCAGTATTCTTTGAACTTTAGGCCATGCATGGGAGTGAGAATGGATCTGTCCCATGTATATTCTTGTAATAATTCTGGAATTTCATTCTTGGGCCCTACCACTTATTCACTTATATTTTTATTTTCTTTCTACTTTGTTTGGGTCTCACAACAATTTGATTTTCATTTTCATTTTATATTAGTAAAGAATATCAACGGCATTCTCCTTGTTCTAATTCATATTCCAAAATAATGATTTTAGAAATTCTATTCCCATTCCACAATTATTCTTTTCAGTTAATTCTCATTTCAATTCTGTTTGATGAGACCTTAGTTCTCTTAGTTGACTTGTACTTATTCAAGCCATTCTCTCTTGTTATCTGTATACTTTATGTCCCCCTTTTGCTAAGCCGTTAGAGGTAATCAAAATCATTGAGAAGCTATTTGGAAACTTTCTCCGAGAAGGGGCCTACAGGCTAGGTGGGACTCATCTTGTGAATTGAGCAAAACTAAGATTAAGAAGCCCCTCTCCTAGGGAGTCTTGGCATAGGGAACATTAAAAAAAAAAAAAAGAAATCTTAGCAAAATGGATATGGATATTTGTTGAAAAAATGAATGGATATAGAAAAGGGGAGGGGTTCTTTGGGAAGGGGTTCTCTCTACCCCTCGGCCCTAGGCTGTCCTTTTGTGCTTAATACATATCTTTTCCGTTTCTTATAAAAAAAAAAAAAGAAAGAGAAGGGAAGCCAGACAAGAAGACCCAAATGTATAAATAACCCCTCTCCCTCATACCCACACATAAAAATGATAAATATATAATTTATTTTCCTCTTCTTTTCTTCCCTTTTCATTGGTTATATAAGAACTTTAAGCATTTGTGTAAATATATATATGTGTGTATGTGTATATATCAAGCTTCTCAGCTCACCTAAGCCCATGCATTCTGTCTAGGCCGCAAGGAGTTTTGTGTCGTAATGGGGTTTCTCCTTTAAAAAACATTGATGTGAGGGGAAAGCAAAAGTGCCCTTGGAAAAAGTATTGCAGCAAATAGATAATAACTGTTTGTATTATTGCATTCCATCTGTGGATATGCTGCCTTAAAAGTTAAAACTAGTTGAGTTGGCTACCTTTATTTGCTGTTGCTGATTTCAACCTGAGTTCTGAATGCGTGTGCAAAATATTTATGAATGTCTTATTTTTAAAATGATATGTCTGCAAAAGTTATTTCTTTTCACTTTTAAAGAACTATTGTGTTTGTTCATTTGTCTTCTGGTGCTTGTAATAATAGAGGAACTGGAAACTGGAGGAAATCAGATGGAACACCCTGTTTTTTCATTTCAGATTTCTGATTTTGCTTGTGTTATATAAATAAAATTTGTTTGTAATTTCCCCATCTCCAGGTCGTCTTTCTTGTGAAGGGTCCGATTTACTTGGTTTGCATCAGCTGCACAGAAGAGCCCTATGAATCATTAAGAGGCCAGTTGGAACTTATTTATGGTCAGGTAACTTTGGTTCTGCTTGTAACTCATTTAGAAATTTCTTCGTTATTTTATCTCCTGCTTTTCTAGATGATTCTTGCTGTTTGTTTGTGCAAGAAGCTGCTCCTCTTACTTATTGTTTTCTTAAAATTTTTATGAATGAAATATGTGTTGCCATCATGGTTTCTTCACTTATTTGATATATTGTAATGCGTGCATGCAGATGATACTTATTCTAACAAAGTCTGTAAATAGATGTTTTGAGAGAAATCCCAAGTTTGATATGACTTCTCTTCTTGGAGGAACAGATGTTGTCTTCTCCTCTCTCATCCATTCATTCAGTTGGTTAGTTTCAGCACTCTCGACCTGCCTCTATCTGTTTTTCTGGATGAAGAACACAAGTCTGTTCTCTTTCCCCTTGTAAACTGCTTGTGCTCTTTCCTGAACTTTTATTCTGCTTATGCAAAAATATGGCACTTTCCTCACCAATTCAGTGTGAATAAGACTTCTGTTGACTATGATTTTGAATGGAAAATGTTGGCGATGGTTTCACATTCTTGTTAACATAATATTGTAGTTTGTGCGTCAGTAGCAGTGTAAATGGATGTCAAGAGCATAGATTTGTAGGTTGCTCTTTCGTACCACACATAACGTAACAGCTATTTTTTTTTCAGTCAATTTAAACTCACTTTTTTTTCTTTCATATATAATGTATGCTCAAGTATACTTATGGTGGAGTGTGGGTGGGTGTACAGTTTGCATGTTTCAGTGGGCTGCATTGGATTTCATGTCGTCCACCTTTTACAAAAATTAATTTACAAATTGTTCTCTTAGTTCTATTGATTGGTCCAACTTCAGGAACCCTGCTACTTTTCTTCATGCATACACTTGTCTTCSTCTCGCTTATGGTACAAGACAAGCTGCGGGTGCAATATTACAAGATGTTGCTGATTCAGGCATTCTTTTTGCAATTTTAATGTGCAAACATAAGGTGAACTTTTATCTTCTTGTCCTGCTCCTGACCCTTGACACTATGTTTCATGCTCTCTGTACAATATATAAGAATTATATTGCAGGTTATCAGTCTTGTTGGTGCCCAAAAGGCTTCTCTTCATCCCGACGATATGCTACTACTTGCCAACTTTGTGATGTCGTCAGAGTCCTTTAGGCAAGTTTCAAATTCTTGGTTATATTGGTTCTGCTTCATCTAGAACAACCAAATTTTGCATTTTTTTTAAAATAAGAAACAATTTCATTGATGATTGAAATTACAAAAGGCGAAAAAACCCACAAGAAAACTTGAGGAGTTACAGAAAACTTCTCCAATTGGTTAGTATAGAATTCATACTGTATGAAAGAAAATAATGAGACTCTTTACACCAAGACATAGCATGAAAAATGATGTTGTCAAATAGGTTCATTATAGGAAGCTCTTTGTTATGGAAGAGCCTATGGTTCCTTTCATTCCAAAATGTCCAAAGAAAGGCTCGGATAAAGTGCTTCCACAAGGTCTCTTTTCCTTTCTTGAAGGGGTGACCACAAAAACGAGTGAGTAAGGCTTGGATGTCAAATGGGAGAGCAACTGATTTTGCTTCTGAAGCTTAGTAAATTAACTTTGGCATAATTGAAGTTCTAATTGTTAATGTTATGTCATTTTTTCTTTGCCATCTTTGGACAACCTTTGCTACTCCATGTGATGGATTGCATAAATTTCGCTTTCTACATGTATGTGTGCTTTATGTGCTTATATTTATGTAATACACATGCATATATTCGCATAATAATCTTTAATCATGATTGTTATTTCCTGATTTCTTATCAAATACCTAAGCCATTTTCTTTACTGCAAAATATTCATTTGATTTAAGATGCAACGTTGAGGACTTTGTGAAGTTAAAAAAAGCCTGTATCAACATCCTGTATTACCTGTTTTGTGTTTTACATTTCCTTTTAGAACTGCATATTAATTACTTCTAATTTGGTTGATGTGGATTTCATCTTAAATTGGCATTTCTTATCAATAAACAACTGGTTAAATTTTCATTTTATTTTTCTCCTTCTAATGCAGGACTTCCGAGTCTTTCTCTCCAATATGCCTTCCAAGATACAATCCAATGGCATTTTTGTATGCCTATGTTCATTATTTTGATGTGAGTGAGAATGATCCTCCAAATTTTATTTTGCAACCTAAATGAAAAAAATATCAGTGACATTTATGAGCTTTAGTGCTTTATTGGTTTTTTGAAAAGATGAATTAACTAATAAAATGATAGGCCCTTGATTAATTAACGTGTATAGTAGGAATCATGTGAAGGCTTATTGCAGATTAATGTGTTCACTGTGCAAGTAATGTGAAGGCTTGATGTAGTTAAAGAGAATATTTTTGGGAGTATATGAGAAGAATTACATAGATCTTGAAAACAAGATAGTTTTAGTGGGAAATAACCTGGAACCTATCTGACGTGTGAAGGATGGATCAATTATAGCTGAGAAAATTTAGGGTTGTGCAAAGATGCTAGTTGTTGTGGTTCTCACTAGAGTGATTGAAGAAGGATAGAGTGGTGGAGCTTTACAGAATGTGAATTGCTATGAACTTGAAGGAACCTTGAGGTTCTCATCGTCATTTAACAGCCCAGATTGGTGACACAAAGTGGAACAGTACTCTGTAGTGAATCGATTGACAGAGGCCGAGAAACTAGAAGTTGCTATGTTATGTTCTGGAAGGAGAAGCTCCTCCGTTGCATCAAAAGATGGATGGTCGAGACCAATAGAAAGTAGGAAGGGTTATCCCAGCAATTACTTAAGAGATTCCAGCCTACCCATGGAGGGACGTTGTGTGGGATTTTTTGCATCGCACCAAGCACCACTGTCAAATAATATTGTTGTTTGTTTGAACAATATGCAGCTCCATTTTTGGATGTGCCAAAATTGGTCTAGGAAAGCTAGCTCGCTAATGAGCTAAAACCTTGAATCTATGATAAATCAACCTATTCAAGGAGCAACTCCTGAAAATGTGATTCAGATCTTCACTCTCGTTTCCAACAGTCTTGTAAATTAAATTAATACCAACCCACATTTGAAGGGATGTGTTAAGAATAAATCAATTGACTAAATTCATCCTAACTTAATAGATTAAGTTGTGTAATTTAATAGGTATTACAGTGGGTATAGTAATTATGATGTTCTTTAGAATAGTATTGTATCATCCTCACTGCATATTGACTCAATAAATGTCTTGTGGCAGGTTAACACTTACTTGATGCTTCTTACAACTAATTCAGATTCCTTCTATCACTTAAAGGAATGCAGGTGAAATAGACATCATATCAGTACCTTTAGGATGTCTTTGTGTTTGGTTGTCAACTAAGAAAATAATTGCATATTTTTTACCTACCATAATTTTGTTTGTTCTCCTTACACAAAAGAATGTCCTGCCAACTCAACTTACTGGCTTCTAGAAATTCAGTTCAGCTGCATAAATTGCATTGAAGTTTTGGCCAAATCATTTATTCCCATCAAGCACAAATTTTGCTGATCCTCTTTTTCATTTATTTTTAGCTAGGATGGTACACTGTATAAAATGTCATGAGAAAAATGCGCATATATTCTTCATCTCAAGCAACATAGAATGACATTGAATTTTTTGTCAAGAATTGGGCTGACCACAACCTCATTGTGCCTTTATTATTATTTTAAACCTCAAGCCAACTACATATTTCAGTTGTTTTGCTATTCATAGACATGGTTGGGTGATTTATTCAAGAATTGATGATTAATACTTTTTCCCTTCTTCACATGTTCGATGAAATGGATGCAAAATCATAGGATTCGTATTGAATCTGTCCTTTTGAAGTCGAATGTTCTTAGTGAAGTTCAGAGATCCATGCTTGATGGTGGGATGCGTGTTGAAGATATGCCTGTTGATTCTTCACCTCGTTATAGAACTATATCTCCTCATTTGGGCCAACATAGAGCTCCATCAGAACTTCCTGAAAGATTCAAGGAATCTTATGCTGGGATAGGTGGTCCTGGTGGACTCTGGCATTTCATTTACCGCAGTATATATCTGGATCAATATGTATCTTCTGAATTTTCATCACCAATTAGCAGTCATCATCAACAGAAGAGGTACTCGTGGATGGTTTTCTGAAGCCCTTATTAATCATGTATTTGTTAAATTGTGAATTTTATATTTTACATGTTTGTCTTGAATTATTTACTTTTGCAGGTTGTACAGAGCATACCAAAACATTTATGCTTCTATGCATGATAAAGAAATCGGCCCACACAAAACCCAGTTTAGAAGAGATGAAAACTATGGTACTTTTTTGTTTTCCCTTGACATTTCGAATTGGATTAAAACAATAATTTAATTGATTTTTCCCTCTCTCTCTCTTTTTTTTTTCACTTCCACTCTTGATGGTAGGGTTTTTTTTTTTTCTCTTTCAATTGAATAGAAATTGCTTTTCAAATTATAACTTTATTGGCCATCTCTGTTCTTTATTCATTGTATTTCTTTTTTATCAGACTTGGACGTTTTCTTTTGACTTAGTTTGTTTCTTATTGTTTTTATTACCCATCAAAATCTGTTATTGACTTACTACATCTAATATATTCCTTTGGACTTTGTCTACTGGATGGAGCCCCGCAAGCCACTGTCCTGATAAAAACTTTGATTTTTATTGGAGTTTTTGCCTTCCACAGCCTTAATCAAACTAGGCTCAAGTCCAACATATCATTATAACACTGATTTGCAGAACCTTGTATCAGGGCTATGGTTAGGTTTAAATTGTGAAATAGAGGAAAGAGTGGGTCGTTTCTGTTTTCAGCTGCATTAAAATCCATTATTTGTTATAAATATTCGTGAACACAACAGCACTAATGTTTCAATGATGGTTTTTATTGGCAGTTCTACTCTGCTGGGTCACCCAAGATTTTGAGCTTTATGCAGCATTTGATCCTTTGGCTGATAAGGTATTACTTTTGTCAGATTTATGAGTATTTCTGGTTGGCTGAAAAGGTTATTTAACTGAAGTCATAGTGACATATTCTTGCTTGTTGGTATTTTATGTTTGTTGATATGAATTTTAATTTTATATTTTGACAAGAAAAGCACACTTTTTTATTGATTTTTGAAAAGTTACAAACTAGTAACTACTAAAAGAAACAATAGAAATTTTAATGGTTAATATCTCAATTCTTCAATACATGAATGGTATATTAGGATTTAGCTCCTAATGTGGAAAACAGTGCCTGGAAATTATTTAGCACGCACAAAGGCCTAGCTTTGTGGAGGAATGTTTTGGTGGTACTTGGAAATTTGGAATGTAGGAATGGAAGAATCTCGTAAGATAAGTCTCCAAGACCTTACGGGATGGAACTGCTGTTTCATGTATCTAATTGGCCTTTCTGTTTCTAGAGAATCCAATCCGATTTGTCTCTTTTTCCAGATCCCCCTTTCTTAATTTTCTTGTCGTTAATTGAATTCATATTTCCTTCTCTTCTACCAAAACAAATCAAAAGGAAAGGAAAGTTCTATTGTATTTACTAATATTAGATACATGTCTTTCTTGCTGGTATCCGTGTTCAACACTAGAGATTTGGATAATATTGAGGGATGTTAACATCTTCATGAAATCTTACTTTTACTGATTTGTTGTATCTACACTCTTATTTGCACTACTCTGATTATAACCTTGCGGATATTGAGACTTTAGAGAGCAAGGATTTCTTAGGATAGAGGTACTTAAAAGAGAGAGTTTGGAGCCTCTTCCTTTGGGGTTCAATCATTACTCTTCCTTGATACTTCCATTTCTCTTTTTTCCCCTACTACTGACCACTGGAACTCGCTTTTGTAACTATTTGGCTTTCTTTTTTCATTTCCTACTGCTCCTACCCATGGTGTGTGCGCGCTTATGTAGCCTTGCTTTTATTCTTCCCTTGGTATTGTGAGTTTTCCTTTTGGGGGAAATTTTTTTTTCTAATTGTACATGATATGATTCTACAGGCTTTGGCAATAAAGATCTGCAATCGAGTTTGTCAATGGATTAAAGATGTCGAAAACGAAATTTTTCTGCTGGGTGCGAGCCCATTTTCATGGTAACATTCCATGTATTATAATTTTTGTGTATTAAATGTTCGTACACATTTTTTCTTTTTATCATTTTGAGCTCAGTTATAATAGTGTTCTTGATCTATTAGCTAAAAGTACCTTCCACGGTTTTGCATTTATCTATATTGTAGAGTGTAGGCTAGCTCATAAATTTGTATTCATTTTAATTTATCTACTGGAAGAAGAATAGGTACAGTGTATTAGTGAGAAATGTATGAAATGAAGATCTATTTTTGCTAACTATTATAATTAGCTAGGAGGTTTACCAATAGCTCTTAAGAATTAGGCATTAAATATCCACTTTTGACCATTGATGCCACAAGAGTGTGGAGGTTGATGATCTGCTTAAGTGGTGCCCACAAGTGTTAAATCATCTCTATTTTTTCAGAAAAATTTGTTAGGTGATGGGATGGAATAGAGCAATAGAGAGCCATGTGGAATATAATTTTTCTACATTAAAAATTAATGTAGTTTGATCTAGATAGCAATTTCCTCTTAGTGGTCTTTTTCTTATTTAGGCTAATGCAAAGTCAACCTAACAGTACCTTTTAGCATTTTGCTTTCAGGCTTTCTGTACCTGAAATAATCTCTGAACCTTGACCACGCAATTTGTGCAAGTTTTAATTTAAGTAAGAAGTTTCTTCTGTGGACACTCAATGGCAACTAGATTAAACTAGATAGATCAATATCAACTGTTTCCAACCTGATAGCTCAACTGTTTAATATTTAAGGTATATATTCTCAACCGAAAGGTCGGAGGTTCAAATCTCTACATGTAGTTGAACTATGGAAGATATCACCTGTTCACAATAGTTTGAGAGGTTTAACAATAGACTATCAAAGAACAAAAGAAGGAAAAACAAAAGATGTTTGTGTGTTGAACACCAATCTTGGGTGGAGAGTTCCAATCTTTGGAAATGGTGGTCGTGTAAAAACCCCAATAGAATTGAGAGAATGTCTTGTTCCGAGTCGTTGAAATAATGTACATAAAGTCGACGATTGTATCGGGAAGAAGATGATTTCATTATAGTGAGTATGGACCACAAAGAGGTTAAATGCAGGTCCCCCCCTCCCTCTGCTCTAAATTACAAGACTCTTCCCACTTAGGAGATTTGTGGTTCAACTCTCAGTGCTTGAAAGAAAAACAAAAATCTTTCTACTGTTTGCTCCTTTTTGGGGTGTTGGAACTGAGAATTTCAGTGGTTCTTTGTCAACTTCTGGTTTTGCTTTTCTTTTGCTTTTTGGCCTCTGCCAAAAAGGAGATCCCAATCCCCACTTAAATTGCCTTTTTTGAGGAAAAAAGTGCTTCTCAACACTCCAAAAACACTTTTAGCCATTTCAAACTACTTTTTTTCAATGGTTTCAGCTATTACTTTAGTTGCACACCAGGAAGTAAATTTAGAAATTGAGAGAACATCTGTAACTGTAAGTACTTGAAACTTGAAACTACTCTTCTTTTGAATTATGTACTCAATATATGTGTATGTGCTTTCCTTATAAGTGCTTATTGGCCACTTTGACCAATAAATTAAGCACTCAAATTTATTTTGTGGTGGTAATTGTGGTTCTGAATCCCATTGGCATTTTCAGAATGGAGGATGTTTGAACTAAAGAAGAAAGGTTAAATAATAATTATGATTGTATGTAAGTTAATCAAATGATGCACGAGATATGTCTATTAGATAAACGTTGGTTAATTTGACTCGATGTGATATAAAAATAGTATATGATTTGAATAGTCTGGATAAAATAGAATGATACTGCGTATGGGTTATAGTAATTTAAGTGTAGTGCAACCAAACAATATATTTTTAAGTGACTAAATAAAAAATAAATATATTTTTAATGTTGTCTACCAATTACAATTATACAATTTTAGTTGTGGGCAAATTTTTCTTTTGCTTGCTTCGGTTAAAAATAAAAACTCATCCATGAAGGCTACCGATTAATTAATTAAAATTTAAAGTTTATCCATAATCGACTATTTATTTTTGACAATGAATTTATTTTTAATTTTATGTTAAATGCTTGCAATTAGTAATATACATTTAAGGATATATTTATATTTTTTCTTTTAATTTGAACCCATAGAGACTTCGAGTTGTGCCTATTTAGTTCTTACTTAAAATTTTTTTATTTTTTATTTATTTTTAGTACTAAAAAAGTTTTTAAATGGTTTTTGAACTATCAAGCTTGTAGTCTCCCCATTTTAAAAGTTTTCAACAGGTTCTTAAAAAGTTTAGAAATCTGTTCATATATTTTTGAAAGTACTTTTTTACAGGAACTTTTAATTATATGCGTCTAATAGATCTCTAGATTCTATTTCTCACCCTCTTTATTTATCAAATATGCCATGTAATTCTTAAATAATGATTTGTTCCTGTACTTTTAAATTGGTAACAATTTAGTCTTTCAACTTTAATATATAATAATTTAGTATCCGTAGTTTAAAATTTGTAATAATTTAGTCTCTCGTGAAAAACTGTCAAAATGAAGCGTCGATTTTTATCATATAACAGTTTAGTTATTTTAATTTATAAACACATTTGATCTCTTATAAGTTCATCGATCTACGTATATAAGAAACTTAACAAAACTTTCACGATAAGGATTGAATCGTTACAAACTTTAAACTATAGAGACTAAATAGTTACATACTAAACTTCACGGACTAAATTGTTACACATTCGAAAGTACATGGATTAAATCGTTACAGACTAAAAGTCATAGATTTAATCGTAACTTAAATGAAAGTAAAGTGGCTAAATGTATTATTTTTTCTAACAAATATTTTATTTTAGTTCAACAACATGTGAGGTAGTCGATAACATATAACTTAACTAGTTGTCAGTTGTGAGCTATGCTCGGGTTGCAACTCACCTTTTAACTTACGCGTTAACAATTCCGATTAAAAAATGGATGAGAGAGAAATTGGATTCCATATAATTGGAATTAAGATTCATGTTTGTGGGGGCAGTCCTATAAAAGAAGAGAGAGAAAAAGAGAAATGGAATTAGAAAGTAAGAAATGGAAGGGAAGGCGACACCCATGTTTGCGGTGTGTTATTACATAAAACACTATTCCAACGGTTCGCCAATGTTTAGTGGTGAGGCCATCACTTTTCATTAATTGCACTTTCTTCCCACTTTCTCCCCACTTTCTCATTATCTTTTTTTTTCTTTTTTACTTTTTTACTTTTTACCCTCACTCTCTTTTTTCTTCTCTCTTTTACATATATACATACATATAAATACATACGTATAAGGATTTAAACTCATAACATCTTATTCAGAAACATGGAAACATGTCTTAATTACCGCTGCTGAGTAGAGGTGATGTTGGCCCTCTCAACAATATTATGATCTTATCACTTCTCCAACTTAATGCTCTCCTTTTGTTTTCATAATTATTATTATTGAATACAGTCATCTCCTCCTCCATTATTTTTTCTCTCAATTTTCTAAATAAACCATCTAATAATAATCAAGATCGAACTATGTTTAAAATGACAAAAGAAAAAGATCATTAAAGAATTAATAAAACGAATCCTGTCCCGTCTTGAGAAGGGTAAAAAGTAATCGAGATTTTTAAAAAATAAAACAGAAAAGCGGCAGAGTAGCCAACTTAAAAATAACTCAACTTATTAAGATATTAATTAACCCTCTGAAAAGTTGGAATCCATTAATCTTTTGTTCATTCAAATTAAAATGAAAAGAAATAGAGAACTTGTTTGAGAAGTTCTAGAAATTTCAAGTGATTTATGAGGCTTCGAAAATTTTCAGTCAAAAAGTATTGCCTAATAGTAATATTAGAATTCAACAAAGCAACAATGACATGACATTTAAAATATTATTCTTCGATTAACATTTTTTGAATGTTAAACATTTATCTCATCTTACAAGATCAAAAAGTCAAACTTACCCTACGTATTTAAAAAAATCCAACTTCTCACAATCTGAATTTATTAATCAAATAGATTGAGTTTGATATATATTTAACGTAAAAAATATATATATATATATCTCCCTTCGTAAAAAAGTACTATTTCTAAATGTCACTTCACTTTTTCCTTATTCAATTTCTATGACCCTTAGGGTAGAAAATAATTTATACCTTAAAAACAAACATTAAAACCTTTAAAATATTAAAGACAATTTCTTTTTTAAATCCCCCAATTTTTTTTTAAAATCCCAATTGTATAAACAATTGAATCTTTAGCAAAACATATATACCTATTTATGTGGGGAAAGTCAAATAACATATTATTTTATTTTAGATCTAAATACTATTTTTGCCCAGTCTTGATACTTTAGGACTCATTCTATGTTAGTTCCTATACTTTCAATAAAACTTAAAATTAGTTCTCATCAATAATTTGAAATTAATTTTTATCTAACTTGGAAAAAATGACAATAATAATTTTCGTGCTCAAAACAACACAACGTGAATATACATTTTCAAAATGGTTAAAAACCACGTCTGGTACTTGTACTTTTACTAAAGTAACAATTTAGTCCCTTAACTTTAGCTTGTAATGATTTAGTCTCTATAGTATAAAATTTGTAACAGTTTAGTCCCTATCGTAACAAAATTTATTAAAATTAAGTGTTAAGTTTTATCATATAACAATTTAATCTTTCTAATTTATAAACATATTTGGTCCCTATTTAGTTTATCAATCTATTTATATATATATATATATAAAAGAAACTTTAACAAAAAATTTTAACGATAAGGACTAAATCGTAACCAACTTTAAATTACAATGATTAAATTGTTACATATTAAAGATCAAAGACTAAATTGTTACCAATTTGAAAATATATGGACTAAATTATTACAAACTAAAGTTCAGGAACTAAATTGTTAGTTTAGTGAAAGTATAAGGACCAAAAGTGTTTTTTAACCCTTCAAAATTTATAGAGTAAAGACATTAGAGACTAATTGTTTAAAAGAAGCTAACCCGAAGAGGAACTAATTTTAAGATTTATTGAAAGTATAGGATTGGATTTGAACATTTAAAATTACAGAGACTAAAATAGACTAAAACTTGACGGGGGTTTTCATTAGGATAAGAAAAAAAGGTGGAAAGTAATGAAGCATTAAAGAAGATGAATATTAATGGTGGGGCAGTTCTTATGAGAAGAGTGATGAATGAAACTCCACAAAAGTTGTTCACCTCCATAATGACTCTCTCTTATTAATCACTCTTTGCATTCAATTGGCTTTTGGGTTGACCA